ATATAATTAGCTTAGTGTTTTTAAAAAAATTTTATACAGATGTATATAAAAAAACAAATAAAAATCTCTACTAAAATTAATACTGCCATTATAATTATTCAGCCCAAATCCTGACATGGTCAACAGCAGAAACCATGGTCTCAGTTGTGAAGCTAAAATGTGGCTTTAAAGAACAGCTATGTTTTTAAATTATTGCCTATAAAGTGAACCGTTTTCTGTTTTGCCAGTGGATACTTTGTGGTACAACTGTGATATTTCTCCTTTTTAACCATCAGACAATAAGAAAAAAATTCTGTAAAAATATGGGGGTATATCTGTTTCTCTTTATTCTGTTCTATGTTACTTATTGGCAGTTATTTAGGAAGAAAAATAGTCATTTTCATCACTATTCCATATGCTATCACCCAATACAAATTATTGAAAGTCACATTTGTGAGTCATTATTTTGCACACATTTGTTTAATTACTCGTACACTGGAGGTACAGGGCTAGGTACTACTCAACCAATCAAATGTACTAATATAACCAAAATCAAAAGTAAGTGGAACCCAGACTCTAATAATAAAATCTCATAATCCAGTAAGAAAATAATAATCCAGTCATCTCACATATAATAAGAGGGTAATCTAATAATCTAATGTCTAATAATTTTATGTTCAGTAAGGGCAAAAAAGAAATGCAAACAAATGATTAAAACACAGATGAGAAGTGACAAAGAATGAATCCAGGAAGATTCCCAGCACAGAGGTTTCAGGGCTTAGATCGTGCCCAGGGCCATGAGACTCAGAGGTCTGGTTTCTGTGATAATACAATCTTTACTAAAGCAGTAATGTCAAATTATCATTTATAATGACTATGGTAATTCAGAACTCTAACCTGACTTACCTGCCTCTTATTCTATATTCACAAATTGCAGATTCATAATTTGTATTTCCGAGTACACTTTTTTAAATGAAGTAACAGCACTGACCAGCAGCTTCAGATATCTGTATTCTCTTGACAGTCATATTTCTCATTGTAATGTACTGGCATTTTGTTTCGTCCTTTGCAAGTATAGTTAGTGTGAATCTCACACTGGTCACTATTAGTAGATTGATAAAATTAATTTTATAATTGAAAAGCTGACGATCAAGTAATGACACCCTTTTGTTAAAATTACTTCATCTCATCTCTACACATGTATGCAGTTTGGCTTATTAGATGGAATTGCCAAGCCTAAAGGCAAAACCTGGGTTCTAATGTCACCCCATCATTTATTAACAGTGTGATCTCTGGCTGATGGGTTTCACATACCTTACATTAAAAAAAAAAATGGAGAATGGGCATTTAACTCCGAGTCAAACTCAGAAGGTCATTATCAACATAAAATAAACAATGAATAAGAAAAGGCTTTGAAAACCATGAAGCACTAAGATATAAGATATTATTACTGCCTTACTATCCTACAAACAATCTATGCCAAACAGTCCATTAGTGAAAGCATCATAATCATTTCCAAAGACATGAGGGGAAAAAATCAATTACAATGAAGAAAGGCAAAACTTCCACATCTTCTATTGTGCTTCCCATACTGACAATTTCTTCCTACAGATTGGAGAAATAAAATTTGAACTTGTTCACTACTATAAGAACTTGCATTTCTAAAAGTTTCCAGGACAAATCTATTTAAAATGTGGTTGTTTCTGGCATACGACTATATAAACAATGAAATGAGATCAGAAAGAAATCTCTAATCAAACAAAGATACATATTTAAGAAAATAGAAGAATAATTTGAAAATAAAAAGTGGCATTATTAGGTTAACACCCCCCAAAAGAAGGTTTCATCTTAAATATTTTTAATTCTTTAGTTAACATAATGATATAGGCCTCTCTGTTCTGTTGGAGAAAGTCAATTTAAGTGATTAATTGGCAGAAGTGATGCTTTCTTAGTTCTCAATTGGCTGATTTGTGGGAACATGCAGAAATGTATTTTGTACTTAGCACCTAGGCCTTTTCTTCATTTGGAGAAGAAAGAGGCAGTAGATTTCAGTTTTAGTTGTATTCAGATACCCTTCCCATGGGCTCCCATATCAGCTCTGCAATGAATTGTAACCATCTGTCTACTTGTGCTTCCCCCTCCAGACAAAAACCTTCAGAAGGGAAGAGAACATGTCCAGGTCATTTTTTTACCCTCTAGCTATTATCCCAATAACTGGAACACAGAAGATGCTTTTCTTTAAATTCTATGTTCCTTTGGATTATACTCAAGATTTATGCACTTTAAAGCAGCTGAATATTGAAATTAGTAAATTAAACAATTGGAAATGCTTAAATTATATGTAGAGAAGGTAAATATACACATTTATTAATATAATTCAATTATCCATTCATTCAAAACATTTCTGGAAAATCTACTACATTCTAATTACCATGCCCAGAAACTGGAGATAGAAAGTCAGACAAGCCTAAAACTCTCAAGATGAATACCTGGTGAGGCAGAGAATCAGGTAAATCTTCTGACAGAGGTGTGTGCTGGAGCCATGGGATGACTGTGGAGGGCATTCAGATACAGCTGGAGGAAAGGGGTTATTTGGAAGGTTTCACAGAGAAGTGATGCTTGAACTAAGGTTTGACCAAACACCAAGAGTGACTAAAACAAAGAAACAGGCATTCCAGGCAGAGAGAAGATGAGGTACCCAGAGCTCTACTGACAGAGGGAAGGCTGCATGCAGAATGGCAGAAGTGGAAGAGAAACACAGAGAAAGAGAAGAGTGATCCCAGATGGTAGATGGTCCTATGGACCAAGGATTTATCAGGAATCTTCAGTGAAAAAGGAGGTATATTAGATTCTCTCCTCAAGGGACTCAGAGTCTACTTGAAATAGATTAAGAATAATAGCCAAAAGGCCCAGTTTAAAGCAAAACAACAACAACAAAAAAGGACTCAGCCATAAAAAAATAATGGAATCTTGCCGTTTGCAAACAATATGAATGTACCTACAAGGTATTAACCTAACTGAAGTCACATAGAGAGAGACAAATAAAATGATTTCACTTACATGTGGAATCTGAAAAGCAAAACAAATGAACAACAACAAATAAACAAATAGACTTATAGATACAGAGAATAAACAGGTGGTTGCCAAAAGGGAGGGCAGGGGGGCGATGGGTGAAATAAGTGAAAGAGATTTAGAGGTACAAACTTCCAGTTATAAAATAAATAAGTCACAGAGATGAATAGGACAGCATAAGGAATATAGTCGATAATACTGTAATAACTAGTATGGTAGCATACACTTATCGTGGTGAGCATTTTGTTATGTACATAACTGTTGAATCACTATGTTGTACACCTGAAATGAATATAACATATGTCAACTATACATCAACTAAAAATTTAAAAAAATTATTGAAAAAGTGGAATTTTAGGTTAATAAAGAGATGAAGTAGTGAAAAAAGAAAAACAAACACACTTTTAATTCAAAGCAACTTAGTAGTTATCTAGACTTGGTGATTCATTTTTTAGACAAAATCACATCTTGGGGGCCCTTGGCTGGCTCAACAGTTGAGCTTACTTAGTGTTTTGAATTTGAGCCCAATGTTGGGTGTAGAGATTAAACTCTTAAAATAAAAGTCACATCTCTAAAAGGATAAGAGGAAAATTAGGTGTGACTGTTAACTGTAAATTTTTTATAGTTTTAAAAAACAAATCATTTTTTACGTAAAAAAGTGTTTCTGTGTGTAGAGATCACATTTCCAAATGTACTTATCTCTGTCATTGAAGCACCCATCTTAGAGAAAGTCAGCATGCCAATATGAATGTCAATACTGGGCAGAGATGAAAGAAAGGACAGTATTTACAAAATTATCATTCAGCAGACCACTATTGCTGGTGGGCAAAAAGCCACAGAACAAAGAGTGCAGGCCTGCTCTGGGTGCAGGAAGAGCTCCCCCACAGTCCAACTGATGGGGTATATATCTCAAAGTAGTGTGGTATTTCAAAACACAGCACATATCAAAACTATAACCTGATTGTGGATTGCTTATATTTATGTGATAAAGACATCAGTATCCACCAAAAAGAAGGAATGCCTAAGTGCTGGTTTTCCTGATGTAATAAAGTTACTTTTTCATTTTTAGTGACTAATGGGATGTAAGTTATTTTCAGGGAAAATAAAACAGTCAAACATTAATCTGAATGTCAGTAAAAAATGACAGTCTACAGGTACATCTATGGCAAATTAGACTTAATCTCTCAAATACTGAAAAATTCAGGTCACTTTATACAAAGGAGACTACAGAGAGAAACATGAATGTCAATGGGAAATCTGGCTAAATCCCACTACTTCTAGTTCATTTCATAATTTGTTTCTAAATATTGTCTCCTGGGAAACTGAGGAACCACACAGGCTAACTCATTTGATTGTAACTGAACTGTATTATTTATTTATAGCTATTCAATTTTGCTGCTCTAAGAGAAAAAAGCAAGCCATCATCTTTGAAAGGCTTTCTTCTTTTTGCCTATAACTAATTGTCAAAGAGAATGACAAATATAATAAACAGGTATAAACAAGTAAAGATTGGAAATAACAGAAAAATTCTAGAAGCATACTTGCTGTGTTTAATATAACTTCAGCCTTCTAAAGATTTGATTTCTCAGCCTGTCCAATGTCTGGGCCAAGGACAATCATAACAAGTATCATTAAAACATATTGAATTAATTGTAAACTCAAAAAATATTATATGTAAGATAATCATAATTAGTTAATCAATCATGGTATTTTATATGGGTATGAATTATGGTATTTTTTTCCTTTGGACTAATTATTCTTCTCTTTTTTTCTTTTATGTTCTATTTTATTATAGTCAGCATCATGCTGCTATTCCTGCAAGTACTGAACAAGCATGGGATGTGAATATTACACTCCTAAATAAATGAATTGCTCAATTTCCTGTGACCATCTATACATACTCCATCTTCAGAAAGTATATCAATATTCTATCATAGAGGAGATAGTGATCCTTTTTCCAATATGCATGACATCTCTGGACAAGACAATTGTGACACCAGCACTTATTTCCATGAAGAAAAATTTTGCGGTTTTATGGCATTCATCATTTGACAAATGCAACTATTCTCCTTATCAATCAGCTCTTACTGAACTTACTCGCAGTGACTGTGGAATCCTTAAGGGCCCATTAAATTTCTGAAGAAGAAAGCTAAGATGAAGGACATGCCACTCCGAATTCATGTGCTGCTTGGCCTAGCTATCACTACACTAGTACAAGCTGTAGATAAAAAAGTGGATTGCCCACAATTATGTACCTGTGAAATCAGGCCTTGGTTTACACCCAGGTCCATTTATATGGAAGCATCTACAGTGGATTGTAATGATTTAGGTCTTTTAAATTTCCCAGCCAGATTGCCTGCTGACACACAGATTCTGCTCCTACAGACTAACAATATTGCAAAAATTGAATACTCCATAGACTTTCCAGTAAACCTTACTGGCCTGGACTTATCTCAAAACAATTTATCCTCAGTCACCAATATTAATGTAAAAAAGATGCCTCAGCTTCTTTCTGTATATTTAGAGGAAAACAAACTAACTGAGCTGCCTGAAAAATGTCTGTCTGGACTGAGCAACTTACAAGAACTCTATATTAATCACAACTTGCTTTCTACAATCTCACCCGGAGCCTTTATTGGCCTACATAATCTTCTTCGACTTCATCTCAATTCAAATAGATTGCAGATGATCAACAGTAAGTGGTTTGATGCTCTTCCCAATCTGGAGATTCTGATGATTGGGGAAAATCCAATCATCAGAATCAAAGACATGAACTTTAAGCCGCTTATCAATCTTCGCAGCCTGGTTATAGCTGGTATAAACCTCACGGAAATACCAGATAATGCCCTGGTTGGACTTGAAAACTTAGAAAGCATCTCTTTTTATGACAACAGGCTTATTAAAGTGCCCCATGTTGCTCTCCAAAAAGCTACAAACCTCAAATTCCTGGATCTAAATAAAAATCCCATTAATAGAATACGGAGGGGTGATTTCAGCAATATGCTACACTTAAAAGAGTTGGGAATAAATAATATGCCTGAGCTGATTTCCATCGACAGTCTTGCGGTGGATAACCTGCCAGATTTAAGAAAAATAGAAGCTACAAACAATCCTAGGTTGTCTTACATTCACCCAAATGCATTTTTCAGACTACCCAAGCTGGAATCACTCATGCTTAACAGCAATGCCCTTAGTGCCCTGTACCATGGTACAATTGAGTCTCTGCCAAACCTCAAGGAGATCAGCATACACAGCAATCCCATCAGGTGTGATTGTGTCATCCGCTGGATTAATATGAACAAAACCAACATTCGCTTTATGGAGCCAGACTCACTGTTTTGTGTGGACCCACCTGAATTCCAAGGCCAAAATGTTCGGCAGGTGCATTTCAGAGAAATGATGGAAATATGTCTCCCTCTAATCGCTCCTGAGAGCTTTCCTTCTAATCTGGACTTAGACATGGGGAGCTATGTTTCCTTGCATTGTAGAGCTACAGCAGAGCCACAGCCTGAAATCTACTGGATAACACCTTCTGGTCAAAAACTCTTACCTAATACTCTGAAAGACAAGTTCTATGTACATTCTGAAGGCACACTAGATATAAATGACATAACCCCAAAAGAAGGGGGTTTATATACTTGTATAGCAACTAACCTTGTTGGTGCTGACTTGAAGTCTGTTATGATCAAAGTAGATGGCTCTTTTCCCCAGGACAACAATGAATCCTTAAATATTAAAATAAAAGATGTTCAGGCCAATTCAGTTCTGGTGTCTTGGAAAGCAAGCTCTAAAATTCTCAAATCCAGTGTTAAGTGGACAGCCTTTGTCAAGACTGAAAATTCTCATGCTGCCCAAAGTGCTCGAATACCATCTGATGTCAAGGTATATAATCTTACTCATCTGAACCCATCAACTGAGTATAAAATTTGTATTGATATCCCCACCATCTATCAAAAAACTAGAAAACAATGTGTAAATGTCACCACAAAAGGATTGGACCCTGATCAAAAAGAATATGAAAAAAGTAATACCACAACATTTATGGCCTGCCTTGGAGGCTTTCTGGGGATTATTGGTGTGATATGTCTTTTCAGTTGCCTCTCCCAAGAAATGAACTGTGATGGTGGACATAGCTATGTGAGGAATTACTTACAGAAACCGACCTTTGCATTCAGTGAGCTTTATCCTCCTCTAATCAACCTCTGGGAAGCAGGCAAAGAAAAAAGTACAGCACTGGAAGTGAAAGCAACTGTTATAGGTGTGCCAACAAATATGTCCTAAAGACAGCTAACTAAACCTACTTCAAAGAAAAGCTTAAGACTGCACCTGTGCTTGAAAAAACAAAAAACAAAAGCAGAGAAATATTACTTTCTAGAAAGAAGCTTAAGCTTCACCAATGCTGCTCCTGATGAAGGGAAATATGTACAAGTTCAGCATTTTAATTAACTGGCTTCAAAGGGTACTGTGGCAACCAAATAAAATAATTCCATTTTCTAGAACTTTCATGTAACTTTCCAGTCTGGACTACAGTTAAAGTGGACAAAAACATTTCTGTATTTTTTTTAAGTATATAAGAGTAGTTGAACTGAGCAATACCTCCTCCTGTGTTGTATTACACATATTAGCCACGAGTTTTTGCAGTGACTAGATAACTTGAATTGACACGTGGTGTAATAAAATGGACAAATTCTGTAGAGTAGACACAGTGAGTATGTGGGCCTCTTTTATAAGAAAAAAATACATTTTGGATTAAAATCAATTGCTTTTGTCTTGTTTTTGTTTCTAAATAAAGAATAATTTCTGGGAAATGTCATCTGATCAAGTGTCATTTAAATGACAGAATTTTTCAAAAGTGTTTTTCTAGAATGAAATTTGGAATGCTAAGACACTTTTATTGGGTTCTGTAATTACATATTTTTAATGTACAAAAATGAATAGAGGACACTTTATGTGTATTAAAAGGCAGTAACACTCTATTTAACCTTTTATTGACAGAAACAAACCTCCAAGATATCATGCAGTCACTTAAATACTTTCTTAACAAGCAACTTTTGGAGTGAATTTAATTGTTAAGTTCACATTATGTAAATCCAATATCTGAGGAACTGAAAATTTCATTTTAACAATTAGTAGTACCCCAACTGTAACTTGCTTGCTTTGCAGAAAATATTGCCAAATTTTGGTAGGACTTAGGATTTAGGTCTAATTTTCAAATCTCTGATTCTGAATACTTAATGTGCTTCACTGCAATAACAAGCAAATAATCTAATAGTTTGCTGTGTTGCAAATCTAACAACCAAACACATTCTACAAGAACTCCAAAGAGTGAGGTTTATATACTTGTATAACAACTTACCTGGTTGGTGCTGACTTGAAATTTGTTATTATCAGAGTGAATGACTCTTTTCCCCAGGATGACCATGGGTTTTAGAATTTCATAAGACTAGGATATTCCAAGACTAGGATTTTAAAATTTTACTTTAAACATATTACATTATTAGCAGAATAAGTTTATCAGGTTCAATATTATAAAATTCTCCTTGTATGTGGTTCACCACCATACAAAACTAACATATATCAGACAATTCCAGAGTTTAATAAAAATTTAAGAGGACAGTTTTAGTAATAAAAAGAAAAAGCTTCTAAGACTAATGTAGAGTAAAGGGAAAAGATTAAGTGTAGTTCTCTATGACTATATTTAAGACACCTAAAAAACATAGCTTAAAAAATGAGAATCATTGAAGTGCCAAAAACATTACTAATCATTTAAAGAATCTAAAATAGGAAATATAAAGATTTCACTTGGAGAAAATGACCAAAGTTTTTTAGGATTTGAAGTCGTATATTTCCAAACAAAGACCCACAGTCCTGCAAAATAAATGCATTTGTGTACAAAAGAAATATCTTGAAACAATAAAAAACATCTAAGATAGTAAGCCATACTTTTTATAGGCAAATCACTTATCTCTACAAAGCAATAAGGCTTCCATGTTAATTGCTGCTTTGCCTGCTCACGATCAAGTGTTTAACTTTTCTTACAATAGCTTGCTGCATGTTATCAACATGTCACTGGCCTGCAAACATTTCCAGCACTGTGGTCATATCAAATTATTTGTTAATACAGACATTTGCTTTTATGATAGTCTTGACAGTTTCTAATTAAATTGTGCTGTTTTTGACAAAGTGGAAGGTAATTGTTATGAACTCTTTAAAACAAAAGGACAAACTGTGTTAATTTTAACACATCTAAAATATAAAACTTGCTAATTCAATGTGTTTCCCAAACACAAATTTTACAATCTGATGAATCACTATCATACAGAGGCTGACATTAGAATTTATCAGGAAGACATGCTCATACATCATGAGATATTTCAGCACCATGGACAGAGCTTTTTTAGACCCAGGCTATTTGTCAAAAATATAGGAGCTGAAATATGACCTATTAGGAGGCAGGTATTGCATAGGTCAGCAAGAACTTGCTCAGGTATCTTGTATGTTTCTTTTAAACCCATCTGCCTGAAGAAGTATAACAAACATAGCAGAAAGCTTAAAATGCATTTCAAGCTATATTTTTCTTAGAAAAATTGTAGTAAATAAACACTCTGAATAGTCACCTAACAGCGAACAATAAAATGAAGTATTTTTGTTATAGCCAAATACATACAGATGCTCAAAGCAAATAATGATCATATTTACTTACTTAAAATTTAATCTAAATTGCCAGTGAGAGTGAAAAGACATTTGCTTCAATAACAAGAACAGCATTTCCTCCTAAACCTCACATAAAATTAAACATTAGTCAAAATAGTCAGAGTGTAACTTGCAATTTAGTGATACTATATTCATGCAATGGCAAACTTTATCTGTAACAAATAAAACTCTAAAGTTCATATCTCTGTGAATGTCAATTGATCTCACCTTATATGGAGAAAGACTTTTTTTTCACAAAAATATTTAAAAATTTTTAAATTTTATTTGAGAAAAAACATGGGCACTAGTGGAGTAGAGACAGAGGAAGAAAGAGAGAGAATCTCAAGCAGGCTTCATGTCCAGCACAGAGCCCAATGTAGGGCTCAAGCCCATGACCCTGGGATCATGACTTGAGCCAAAATCAAGAGTCAGATGCTCAACTGACTGAGCCACCCAGGCTCACCCCTTTACAAACATGATTTTAAAATAATTATACATTTTCTAATTTATACTATATAATAAAATTCAAATGTTCTGAAAATAAGCATGCCCAGTTGTATACGAATACTGTATGAAAACAATGCAGAACAAAATGTGTCATTGTCAGCAAAGGTAATCAACAATATGGTGCCAGTCATGTGCTATTTTGCTTAGAAAGAAATGAAATCCATTTATGGTACATGAATCTTTTAATACTTATTTTAATTCTTAAAATTTCAGTTAGATAAAAGGTTTTTAAGCAAAATTACATACCAGCAAGCATAAGTTTAAAATTAGAATTCCTTAGTCTGTTTATTAAACTGTAATTTGTTTGGTTTCCCTCAATAAATATTTACTGTTTGGCTATTAGTCACTGAAAAAGAGAACAAAACAGGACATATTTCCCACCATTTAAGGGGCTTATATTCTACTGGATTACATATCACATATCATAGTTACATATCACTGCTTTCACAAATATGTGTTAATTATGTTATCTAGTAGAGTCCCAGCTTCAATCCATACCTTCACAGAATAATAATACTCAAAATATCACAAATATTTTTTCTTGCTCTAAAATGTTTATTATAAGTTGTTAAGAGAACTTAATTCAAATTTATTATTGATTTTTAATGTGCACACACACATACACACACATACACACACACACACACACACAAGCCTAATACTATACCTAAACCAGTTTAATCAAGAGTCATGTCTACCTACTATGAAGGAAAAACCTAAATTTTATAGATTAGCCTTTCACATGAAAAATTAGAAGTGATATGTCATTAACTAATAAAAAACAATGAAAAGTTTAAAAGTGTTTGCCAAAGCAAGGGAAAATTCCAATGAAATATCTTCACAGCTGCCATAAGTGTCAGAAAAATAAATCTCATTGTATATGTCACTATTAAACAAAATCTTCAGCTTCATCCCAATGTTGGCAGTCTAGGAGATAGGGAATAATGAATAGTGATTAAATTGTGGCTACATTTTCTTTGATCCTCCCCCCCCCACCCCGTATCATACTCTCCTTCCCATAACAAAGTATAATACATAAGTACAAGTTTTTTTTTTAGTGTATAATTGCCAGATATGTTTACTATATCAGATATCCCAAATGGTCATAAGCTACAATGATCTCTTCCACCAGCTTCTCAGACGAGAATACTCTTACCCTTAGTTCTACAGTCCCTATTCTTTATCATTTTACCCTAATACATTGTTAACTAGGTCATTGCTTGGGATCATGGCAATACTGTAGTGGAATGAAAGAACCATGCCTAAAATCAAAATGCTCTAATCAGCACCATGGAGCTCTGGAAAAGAAAGAAACTGATCCCAGTTTCAACACAATAGTGGCTACTTCTGTGTGTTCATTTGTAAAGTGAGGGCTCTATCTATTATTAAGGGTGACTACCACTTTGATTTATCTTATTCCTCTGAAGCAAGGGAAAAATAAAAACACTATTTGTGCACAGGAATAAAATGACAAAATCAGAATTAATCCTGAAAGCCATATTCCATATATCCAATCCTAAGAAAAATCATTAAAAGATAAATGTTTTAAAAAGAATATTCCAGTGAAATATAGATTATTTCCAAAATCGATCCTAAACATTTTATTAATGATATAACAAAGGTCCTCTTGAATTGAGTAGTAAGCATTCAGTATGCTCAGGTAAGAAGATCAAATGAAATAGAACAGAGTTCATTTTTATTCCTACTGAAAATAGACGGGCCTGCAGAAATTTGAATTTACTATTCTAATTCACTTTATATATATATCGAGGGCTCCTAAAGCTATTTTTGAAATAAGCCATATAGTCAATACCAACTAAGGGGTTAGATACATCACAGATATATCAATACAACTTTCTCTTAAGAGCTAACTGAGATATTCAAATAAGTAATAAATTCAAAGAAAATATCATATATGATTTCAAAATTATTTCAGAGTGACCCAAAGTAACAAAGAAGAGCACAGAGAGCTATGGTTGACCTTGGCAAGCCTTTCAGAAGAATGAACTATAATGGAATTTGAAGAACTCATGGTATTTTGTTGTGTTTATATTTATCTTTCCTGACTCTAATATATCATTAAAAAGCTAATAGTACTATGTGACCAATGTAAGGAAAATCCAGCATCTCATTAAAACATATGGTTCAGTGTCTGAGTTATTGATTCAAAATCCAATTGCAATATCCATTTATAATGTTTATTAGCCACTGGAACAAATAATGGAGTAAGCTTAGAACATAAATTGACTATCCTAATCCTAGCATTGAGGGCATGAGAGTATAATAATAATAATAATAAATCTCTCTGTCATTTCTGGTACCAGATTCAGGGCTGGAAAAGACAAATAGTTCTTAAACCATGAGAGTTGCCATTAGTAAAGCAATATGGTCAAGCACACCAAAGGAGTTCTTCAAAAGAATACTTTATAAAGATGAAGTTTATTATTAGAATTCAGATAAAAGTTGGACACCTCTGGCAAACATTCATTTAATATAGTTGCAGAGATCAGTCACATATTTAATAAAGAACAAGATAATGTGCCTCCAAGAGAAGCTTAA